GGGGAGGGGAGGGGGGTGTCAGTCTCATAGTTACAGTCAGGTTAATATTTAAAAATAATAATAAAAAAAAAAATCAAACGAAGATTTGTGGCATTGCGCATATACCCGTTGTCTCCAGAATGGGTCATCTCTTTTTAACTTTTTTTATTCTCTTTTTATTTTATTTTTTTGGTTTTCTTTCTTTTGTTTGTTGGTTTTGTTCTGAAGTGAGAAATGACAGACCGGCTTTAATGTATTTTAAAATGGATAGCTAAATTATTGTCTTCATTGGTATGGGATGGTTTTTTGACTGAAGCGGTTCTTTTTTTCCCCCTCCATGCTGTAATAAATATAAACATAAACATTTGATTTCGGTTCTCTGCTCTTTGTTACTGCTCTTTGCCATGAGGAATGTGAGTCTCCCACCCCCGCCCATTTATTTGTTTGTTTATGTGTTTGTGTATTTGTTTGTTTATTTGACTGGCTTGGGGGGGGGTGTTGGGTTTCTTAATTTTTATTTTATTTTATTTTGCTTCCAATGGCCCCAGGGCATGTTCTCAGTGATAGGTGAGGGTGAGGCTCAGCTGCATCCTTCCCCTGCACAGAGGACTCATGTGCAAGCTCTGCAGGGATCGGGGTTGGGCGAGGCTGCAGCGGGTTGCAGCTCAGAGCTTTGGGCCTTTGAATAGAGGTCAGTATGGGGGAGTATGAGCGCCTTTCCTCCACCCTGCATCTTTCCCCAGCTGTCTGACCGCTGCCTGGAGTGCAGCCATGAACCACCCGCTTGCAGTCCAAGTTACCCAGCCCTTAAAGCAGCACTTGCTTCCCACCTCCTTGGGGGCTTGGTCACGTACGTGAGCAAACCACATTGGGTGGAGTGTCTCTTCAGGACTGCCATAGCTGCTGACTTGCAGTCCTGAGATATTGCGTCCCCTTTCCATGGAGGTGTCCAAAGCCTCAGTGAGAGTGCAAGGGTGGTCCTAGCATCAGAGGATTTACCACCTTGAATCCCAGATTTGGTTCAACTTCGAAGGGCAGCCTAGGACTGTTTATCCCTTGGAAGCACGTGAACAATTCCAGGTCCTCGTCTGTGGCAGGTAAATCCTTGGGGCTCTCGAAGAGAAGGACGCTGCAAGAGGCTGTCTGAACACTGGGACTTTCCTCCTGCCATCACCTTCCCGTGTGAGAGGACTGAGTGGGGATTGGGGACCCCTCTAGAAGCCGACAACAGCATTAAAATGGATGTCAAGGTGGACAGGGATGAGATCCCACATTTGGGGGAAGAGGGCTTTGTTTGGGACAAGCCCCTGGCTTTCCTGCTGGTGAGGTGAACAGGCACCCCTGTGCCCCAGGTTTGCTCGGCCAGTGAGCCTCTTAGCCAAATGCAGGAAAAAGTGTTTTCGGTGTGGGTGATGGAGGAGCCATTAAGTTTGGACCTACGAGGGGCTCCTTCCCTTTGCCTGATCCCTACACCCCTCCCATCTGCGCTTGCTTCCATGTCCTCTGGCTCATCACAGGAGTGGGCTGGGGGGTAGGTGGGGACTTCACCCCAAGGCAATGAATTTGTATGTGTATTTTTGGTCTCGGTCTTCTAAAAATCTGGAATTTCTCCCACTCCTGCCTCCAGGGGTGGCTTGTTGTATACAAGCCCCCTCCACACTGTGAATAGGTATAAAGCTGGAGAGGGTAGCTTCCAACATGTCTGACATCAAACTTGCAGCACAAAGCAGGGAGCAGAGTTGGGTTTTGGTTGTTGTCAGCATCTGCAGCATGGCAAGCAAGAGAGAAAATCACCGTTAAGTGCTAGCTAAAAACAACGCTGTCAATGTTTGTAGATGTCAAGCCGGCGCATGTCCTAATGCACCTCTCAGGAAGGTGCCGTTACCAGCTGCAGGTCAGGTGCCTGATCTGGGCACCCAATGAAAAGATCTCATTGATGGCATACAGGATACTGGGGTGCTACCGCTCCAAGGTGGTACTGCCATACCGGTAACAGAAGTTCACCTTTAAATGTAGGTATTGTGAGGGGAGCAGTTTCTGATATTGCCTGCTCTTTCTAAGCATTCATGAATGGTCCAGCTGTTCGGTAACGCTGTGAAACACTCTGTTACCAGATCTTTGTTTAAATGTTTTTAACAAAAATATTTTTACCAAAGTTTTGCAATGAAAACTAGCCTTTTAAATATCTCGATTTCTTGGATGTTCAGAAAACTCAGGTTTTGCAGGCTGGATGACTGCTAAATGTCTTGTTAGGAAGTGCTATGTGACACTTGTTCTCCATATTAATTTGGCTGATTGGGAGAAAGTAAATTTGACTTCAAAGATGCTGTTTTTCTTTTCCTTCCTGTAGTTTGTAGGCAAGTCTTGCAGTGGTTTGAATGAATGTTTCTTATAAATGATCTAAGCGCACTGGAATCGGGTAGATTTAATGCAACTCCCTGGAAATTCCCACAGTAGAGGGAACATCTTTGTGTCTTGTTTCACAAAAGACTGGAACGGTGGAATAATGGCTGTGCAAAATGCACCCAGAGCTGAGAGCCGGTCGCAACGCATTGAAGCGTTTTAGGCATTGGTGGGGGAGAGGGAAGAGTTATTTTTGCCATGGATGATTTCACCAGAGACCCACGTCCACTTCCGGGATCTCAACGCCTCACTGCTTGCCTCTCAAAATATCTTTGCATCACCAGGAAAGGTTTCATTACTGGCAGCCCACAGAGTGCACACTGCGAGAACCACTGTTCTGTGCGATTGAATCGGACTGATTCCCCAACGTGTCCTAAACACTTACCAAGAAAAATCAACCTGGCTCCGAAGCTTGTTAACATAAGGGTCAGCTGGAAGACTAGGTTATGGCTTGTGAATCAAGAAAATGCCAATGTTTCTAATTATAAACCTTTGCTTCGTGCATTTGGATTTGTTTCCTGTTTCACCTAATGCTGAAGATTAGTCAGCAAGTGCTGAATGTTTCTTCTGTTCAGTGTAAATGTATTCTGCCCTTCCTTCTGTGTGTATTGCTTTATAGAAAACATGCATATTCCTTTTAATGTGATCAGTGTGGTTCATTATCTGCAGATTGCAGGTGTTGGTTTCCATTTAAGCCACAAGTTGGTTTTCCAGTTAAATGTCTGAGGATTGATAAAGTTACTGGTCAGAGATGTTTTCAGCAGGGATTGGAAGTCGGTTCTTTTCCTAACTCTGACCATTGTTCAACCTGCCCTTGGACATATCACCTAATGGCATGGTCCCACAGTTCCCAGTCTCCAAAATGTGAGCAGATGGAGTTGATATCTGGTGCAAGCAGCTTTGTAAGGACAAAGGGTGATCCTGCTAATGGTTAATTGTTAACATGAAAGTAAAGGTTGACCTTTCCATGTGAATATGCAATACCTGTCGGTTGTACGGTGAGGTCTAGCATGGCAAAGTCCCTGCTGCTTTCTCCCCAGCCCCACCAGGCGCTGCCAGTATCAGTGAGTGTACTTTTAGGCAGTTGTGAATTGCTGAGGGGGATTTAAATCCTTTTCCATCTCCAGCTCCTACGTTTCAAAGATGAGAGTTAAAAATAAGGTTGGCCAACTCTTGGATTGGAGGTAGAACAACATCCCGGTGCCAAAAGTACCTCGTGAACAAGCCAAGTGCTCTGTGTCTCCTGAACTTTTGGAAGCTTTATCCTGCCTTCATCTGTCAGGGGCTCATAGACTAGGATATACTGTACCAATGGCCTGCTAAGGTGCCTGCTTGTTTATAGAGCCTGTATTTCCTATGAACTTTGTCTGCTGCCCAGCAACCCATCTGCACTGCATCTACTGCGCAACATCCCATTGCTGTCTCTGATCTGGGTACAAGAAAACCCCTGAATGCTCCCTATTACATCTGGTGTATGGCAGGCTGCAGAGAGAGACATGACTGATTTGAAATTTATTCAGAATATACTATCTTGACTTGACTACAAGACAAGGTTTTTAGTCCCTCTTACATTCTCATACAGGGACACTACATTAAATATGTTGTCTATCTTTGAAATGCTGCTAAAAGTAGCATGCACTCAGTAATGGAAACCAACTATGATGCGGCTTAAATGCAGCCACTGCTGAGCATCACGTGGCCCACGTTGGGCAGACATGCTGAATGGATCCTCTTTTGTGTGGCCTAAAGAAAAAAGAAATGGGCAGGTGTTCCCTCCACAGGGAATGGGCACTGGGCCTAGAAGTATTGCAATGTTAGACTGGTACCAGGAGGGCCAAGGCCAGCCCTGCCAAAAATACTTGATCTTAATCAAAAGATGGAGTTTTGTGAAAATTCTTCATGTACCGAGTCAAATTAGCAAGACCAGGACTGAATTTTTTTCAATCATTCAAAAGCCTTGTGGCCCTGCTACCCACAAGCATCTTGCACCCCAGACTTTTCAGCTTGGGGCTTCAGCTGCTTCCAAATCCTTTGGCAAGCATCCCAAGTGCAGGTCTGGAGGCCCCTAAGTTTCATTTGCCCTCAGCTGTGTGGCCACAGGAGCAAGCTAGGAAGGAGTCTCTCATTTCCATAAAGTCAGCATGTAGCTGAGATCCTCCCATGGGAAGCTGGCCAGTGGGAGGCTAACTATGAGGCTCTTGTAGGGAGTCCTGTCTGCAAGCAGACGGGGCTGCACCCTTCACCATACACAACCATTTTTAAGCCACCTACTTGGTCAAGGTACTTTCTCCTGCCACTTTTGTGGTCATAGTGTTTCCCCTGCCAGGTAAGTATGGGAACCAACCATAAGAATAGGTTAGTGCAGCCCACCTGAATAAGACATGGGTAATACCTATTAAAT